TGGGTGCTCTGTGCACTGGGTGCTGCGGAGCTGCAGCCCCGGTGCCCGTGGGTGCTCTGTGCACTGGGTGCTGCGGAGCTGCAGCGCCGGTGCCGGGGGCGCTCTGTGCACTGGGTGCTGCAGAGCTGCAGCGCCGGTGCCCGTGGGTGCTCTGTGCACTGGGTGCTGCGGAGCTGCAGCGCCGGTGCCGGGGGCGCTCTGTGCACTGGGTGCTGCAGAGCTGCAGCCCCGGTGCCGGGGGCGCTGGGTACCAGGGATCGGCAGCCCCGGTGCCCGCGGCACCCCGTGCCGGGATGCGCCGCCGCTGCCCTGGGCTCTCCCCGCAGGGCCGTGGTGCTCAACAGCCGGGGCTGCAAGGGCGAGGAGCTGCTGGTGAGCGGGGGSGCCGGGGCGCCGCAGCCCCCCGGGCGCGCTGCCCGCACTGCCCCGCGCCCCTCTGCCCGCAGACCCCCCGCACCTTCTGCGCCAGCAACACCGAGGACCTGGAGACGGCCGTGCAGCACGTGCGGCAGCGCTGCCCGTGCGCGCCGCTCCTGGCCGCCGGCGTCTCGCTCGGCGGGTGAGGGCGGCTGCAGCGGGGGCTGCAGCGGGGGCTGCACTGGGGTCCTGCAGCAGGGGGCTGCAGCAGGGCAGCTGCAGTGGGGATTGCAGTGGGGATTGCAGCGGGGTCCTGCAGTGGGGTCCTGCAGTGGGGACTGCAGCAGGGTCCTGCAGTGGGGTCCTGCAGCAGGACAGCTGCAGCAGGGATTGCAGCGGGGTCCTGCAGTGGGGACTGCAGCAGGGTCCTGCAGTGGGGTCCTGCAGTGGGGATTGCAGCGGGGTCCTGCAGCGGGGTCCTGTAGCAGGGATGCTGCAGCGGGGATTGCAGCGGGCATTGCAGCGGGGTCCTGCAGTGGGGACTGCAGCGGAGTCCTGCAGCGGAGTCCTGTAGCAGGGATGCTGCAGTGGGGATTGCAGCGGGGTCCTGCAGCGGGGTCCTGCAGCGGGGTCCTGCAGTGGGGACTGCAGCGGGGCCCTGCAGTGGAGTCCTGCAGTGGGGATTGCAGCRGGGTCCTGCAGCGGGGTCCTGCAGTGGGGACTGCAGCGGGGTCCTGCAGTGGAGTCCTGTAGCAGGGATGCTGCAGTGGGGATTGCAGTGGGGCCCTGCAGTGGGGTCCTGCAGCAGGGCAGCTGCAGCGGGGA